TAGCAGAAACAATACATGAATTGTTTCTGTGATGTGACAGAAACTATCACTCATTTTGAGTGATTGTTATATCTCAACTTTTAGTTGTGATTTTTAAGATAGTTGAGTTGAGATTGTTTTGTCTAACCTTTTAGCTGATGCGACATACACAATCACACATACCAAACGTTGTATTCTACAATGCATTAAATTCGACAATACATGTATAATATTATACATGCATTCTCAACAATACATCTATTTAACAATCGCAACTTCCAAACGATGATGATATCTATCCAGAATCCTTGTCAGTGCTTTCGAATTTCGATCCTTGGAAATCTCATCCCATTTACAGCTACCTAATATTCCCTCCATTATTCAAATTGTATGAATAATGGAGCGACATTCAAATTACAAGTCCATTGTGTGGATAGTTTATTGTTTTTATTATATATTTATTTATTTGTCTTGTTTTTTAATGATTCTTTATCACGTTTCACTTTTTTTTAATACCTTATTCTGACCCAAACTATAACCATATAATCAATTTTGGCACGTGGTTTCAGAAATTAACATCTTAGCCTCAACTATGCAACATATAGACTCAATTGGCCCGACACATGATTTGACCGTCAATTTGGACGGTCAACACCGTTGACCGTTAATCAATGCGCCATGTCATTGCCTTGTCAGCCTAAAAATCATTAAAAAATTCAAATTCAAATTATTTTCTTAATTTATATTATTTATCATTATCAAATTAACCAAAAATGAAAATTATAACAAATTAAAAATATAAATTGTTTATTTTTTGGGAGATTTAAAAATGATAAATTTTATAAATTAACCAAAAATTATCAAATTTTTAAAATTTTATTTTTTGGTTAATTTGAAAATGATATATAATAGAAATTAGGAAAATAATTTGAATTTAATTTTTTTAAATAATTTTAGGCTTACGATGCAATGACACAGCGTGTTGACTAACGATCAACAGTGTTGACCGTCCAATTTGACGGTCAAACCATGTGTCGGCCCAATTGAGTCTATATGCTCCATAGTTGAGGCCATGATGTTAATTTCTGAAACCACGGACCAAAGTTGATTATATAGTCATACTTCGGGCCAAAATAGGGTATTAACCCCTTTTTTTTCTTGCCAAAGACAGGTGTAGCAAGACATATGTAGGTGTACAATGCAGCATGCTTACAAATATGTAGAAAATTAAATAATCAAATGCGACGGCCGATAGCTAATCGATCCGTAGATAAAAGAGTCTTTTTAGCCACTAAACGGGGAGCTCTGTGCCTCTGCCAATATCATAAGAAATGCAACAAAGGATGCAAGCGGGTACACAACACGCGCCAAAGCCAGAGAAAGCGGAGGATAGATCATCCTTATTGATAGCAAAAGCAAAGCAGCCATTCCCATTGCCACATGCATTCAGAACCGCCAACAATTGTTTGGTAACACAGAGTTGCGCCACAAATGAAGCAGCTTGGTGGGCCCGTGCCAACTTTCACTATTGAGAAGCATAATGGATGGATGCTTGTATGGTCGAGGGAAAACTATGTGCCCCTACAAGAACAAACAAACACATAAGCACCCATACAGTCAGTGGCGGAGCTATGTTATGTTCAGGAGGGGTTATAGACCCCCTCAACTTGGAAATACAGATAAATTTACATGTAAAATTGATACAAATTTAGAAAATAGACTAGTCACTAAGGCATTAGCCCCCCCCCCCCCCCTCTCTCCTCTTCACTCTTTAGGGAAGTCGTTATGGGCTTATGGCGATTAGCCGATTACATGTTATTACTTAGCGGTGGCTACCAAGGGCAAATAGGGTATGTGAAAAATATTTACTAATTATCTTTTTAATAAAGGGTAATGTCTATTTTTTTATTCAAACCTTTTTCATATTTTTTTTATATTATCCAAACCTATCGAAATACTAAGAATTAGCCAAATGTTAACTTCTTATTAGTAACTTTGTTAGTAATATTGACTTGACACCATGCTATTGACTTGGAAGCATGGTTGTCACGCCGGCCGGCGTGCCACTGGTTGAACCTGGTTCAACCTGTACCGGTCATAAAACCGGTATGACACCACCGGTATGACCGGCATGATCGATATACGAATCTCTAAGTAAAATGATCTTATATTAGTGAATTTATTTGATAAAAAGTAATTTATTATTTATTTTATGTGTTAAAAAGTTAAAAGTTGATGTTATTTGTTGGATTCAAGTACAAATATTTAGGTATTGACGTTAAATGTCGTGCTTAAATATGAGTATTTGTAAATTATTTGTAATATTAACCGGCATGAACCGGCACAAACCGGTATGTACCACCGGTCAAACCATTCCACTTGCTAAATCGGCACACTGGCACAAACCGGTTTGACAACCTTGCTTGGAAGAGACACATGAAGGTCAACATTCCAAAATTTTATTTTTATTTTTGATGAATTAACTAAGAAAAGAATTACAAAATTATGAACGATGGCGTAAAAATGGCTAATATTTTAATGCATTACGAAAGATTTGGCTAATTAATAGCATTTTAATAGGTTTGGATAATACAAAAATATCTAAAAAAATTTAGCAAGTTACAATACATATTAATTAAATTTTCTCTCTCCCTCTCTTTCACTTTCGCAAATCTCTAGTCACCTCTCTGCTTTCTTCTCAATTTTTTCCTTGTCTCCATTCAGCCGAACTAATATATTTACAAAAATAAAAAAATTAATCACTACCAAGTCATAAAAAACACTAACAAAAGACAATACTATTACAAATTAACCAATATTATTACATATTAACAGATTATTGCAGATGTATAATGCCTCCGTCTAAAGGACAAATGTTGGACCTAGGAATATATCAATGGGCTCGAACGATAAAGCCCATGAACGTTGTGTGAAGTGTGAACCACTCATGGGGCCTTGCCTCATGATTGAAGCCCAGTCGTTCATGTCCCGTAGGGCGAGGTGGCGAGCATCAAAGCCAAAAGGCACATCGCAGACTGCATTTAAAACGCAACATGACACCAAAGGTCCGTTTAGTATCATTTTGTTGCTGTTGTGGTTGCAGTGGTGTTGTGTAAACAGATGTACAACCACAACAGGAAAAAAAACAGAAAACACAAATATGTTTAGTTGATAAATCTGAAAAATCATGAAAGCTGACAACAAGAAACAAAAATGTGTTTAGTTACTACTATAAGAACTAAAACCCATAAAAGATAGATATGTCCTCAATATTAGGCACTACGAATGATGTGGCGGCGGCGGGAAGGGGAAAGGGAGGCGGCGACTCCTAGTCGAGCGGGGCGTCTGCTGGCGCGGCGGGAAGGTGGTCGCGGCGGGAGGGGAAAGGGAGCCGGCGAGAGGGTGCTCGATCGGGGAGGGTAAAGGGAGGTGGCGGCGCCTGGTGCGCGGGGTGGGGAAAGGGAGCTGGCGGGAGGGTTGGTGAGAGGTTGGCGACGAGGCGGCTGGGGGAGAGGGTAGAGGGTTTGGTGGGATCTGCTGGGCGTAGGGTTTGGGAGAAAATGAGAGGGTAGAGGGTTTGGGGGTAAAAAAAAGATGAAATTTTGGTTGAGGCGGGATTCGAACTGTGGGTTGGTTTAAGAAAACAGACCCCCAACCAGTAGGAAACCCGTGTAAAACAACTACAAGAATCATATCCAAAGCAATAAATTGTTGTTTCTCTAATTTGGGCACTGTTGTGCAAATCTGATTCACAACAAAAAATAGAAACCCAACTAAACATGTTTTTTTTTCTTCTTGGTTTCTCCAATCTTTAAAAACACAACAGAAAACAAAAACAGACAACAATACTAAACGAGGCCTAAGTTCCTAATTAGTCGAGGCCCTGAGGTGGCTCACACAACATTTAATGTTTTACCTACCAAAGGAGCTTGTATAAATAGGTTTCTAGAGTTCATTCAATGGTAACTCAACTACTCTACTTCTCTCTACATTCATAACATTCTCATATTTCTCTCTCTAACTTTGACATTAGAGAGTGTCATCGACACGTCACGTTGGGACCTTTGTTGCAAGTTCTCGCGATTCTGTGAGGCATCTTCCTCTCCAAGCAGCGCGCGGCTCCCCCTCATCAAACCCAACAACCCCAGTGACTCAAACAAACACCAAATGATTTTTTTTTGTATTGGGTTTGTTCATTTAATAACAAATTCAGCTTGCTACTCTTCACTAAACTAAAATATTTGAGCTATGTAAATTATACGAGAGTATTGTATTCAAACATAGAATCATGAGTTGTAATACAACATCAATGAGGACACACCAGCTGCCTCTCATCATCCAACAAAAAAGTTTGGCCTAACTATCCGATTAACCATTCATTAGTTCAACTTGTGAATGACAATTGATGAGAATTAAACATAAAATGGCAAAGAGTCACAATTGAATCCATATAATATTAACATCGAAATACAAATATCTACATTTTTTTTATGAATAGAAATATCTACATTGATATAATGATTGGTTTCCTTTTTATAAGCGTGAAACAATTTACTAATGACGAAAAATATTTAATTATGTATGACAAAAAGAAATAAAGGGTTGTCCTTAGTTCACCAAGGTGACAGTCGGATAAAGTAACATAAAACAAAACTCTAAAAGGGAAAAAAGGGAAAATGAGCATAGGAATTACTAATGCTTATTTCTCTCAACTATACTTTCCTGTCATAATTCCAGAGATGCGTTTGAGAAGGTATATAAGTCACGACTTCGTTCCCCATAATTTTAAGATACCTAAATTTTCCGGTATGAGAATAAAAAACAACACAATTATCGTCTCAATAGTGTGTATTGAAAAAACACTCCAAATTTCGCGAGAATCCCACGAAGTACGCAGGAGGTGTAGTAATGACAAGCAACTTTGTCCAGGACTCGGGTACCCAGTATTTCAACAACACGCACATCTCCCATGTAGCATCCCTTATCACAGCGACATTATAAATCAACATCCCTGGACTATGCTAGTCTCTTGTCGCATTAGCATCGTGGACCTTGAAAAGAGATACCATGGCCTCTTCGTTCAACAAACATCTGGAAGTTCCAGACAAATCCTTTGTAGAAGCAGCATGGTAAGGCAGCTCCACCCTCTCGAAAACTTCCCTCCTCATGTCAAATGAATCAAATAGTAGAGTACTGTCTTGGACGACCTCTTTTGATAGTCGTAGCCAATACAATTTCAGCTTACGAAGTTGTGGAGTAGAGTACGAGGGGAGCATTGGATGATAATTGCCACGATTATCATCGTCGTCTAACGTATCCACGAATCATTCCTCAAACTATACACCTCAACCAAGTCACGAGTCTGGTCAGTTTGGGGAAGGACAGTCCGGGCCTGCCACAGGATCTTATAGTCATCCAATCCTGAGTCGTAACCAAGTCAAGGTGAAACGACCCGCTCTTTTTCGAAAAAATAAACCATAACTCAAACCAAAAACCGGTTACTCCGGAGCAACCCAAACAACTTTTTAAAATAAATAAACCGATAATGTGTAAGAATTTCAAACAAAAAGCCTGAACACTTGGGCAAATGACAATCTCAATACTTAAAATGAATGAACTCAGAATCTCTAGTTTACACTCCTAACCATGTAACAAAGAAATTAAACTATGCTAGCTCTGACTCTTCACGATTTCCTTGACTTCCCATCAATGCTGGTGCAGCTACTCGCATCGCCTTGCCTCTTCTCTAAATCCGCCTCTGCTAACCCTTCCTCGACCTGGTGAGTGAGAAGGGGTCAGTCTCGTCGTTACTTCCTAAGGTCTTTTTCCTAGGCAAACTCCTTACTAAACACATTATTAGGGGATTGCCTTCCTTAGACGAAAGTCATTCTCGTTTTCATCCTTTATACTTTATTATCAAACAGTCTATAAGAGATCTCTACTCCTATCTTATATTTAGAATTTCCTTACTTATATTCTTAATCCATAGACACCAACACTAGGGACCACCGCGTTACGTCTCGCCGTCTGGTGTCCCTACCCTAGTATGCCAACCGCGTTACGTCTCGCCGTCCAGTCCATGCCCGGTCAACTATTGTGTTACATCTCGCCGTCCAGTAGTGACCCAACCGCCCAGGGGTTCATCTTACCATTAACAAACTATTACAACCATACATTCATACATAGCACAACGCGTGCCTCCACCCTTACAGGCGGTGGGATGCCTCACACACATATCGCGCATTACTAAAAAATTAACTAATTAATAACTTGAACGAAAAGCATAAACTAAAAGACCTACGACAGAGATTTTACCCCCCTTTACACTCACCTTGAAAAGATGACTTCCCGATTCCTTCCTCGAAGAAACCCCTCCTTAGCCTGAGTATCTTGGGGGAAACCTATTAATAAGAATCTGTTTTCTTAGACGACTTTTCTCGATTTAAAACCCCTTTTCAATCACTAGAACATCCTCTCCTCAAAATCCAGCCTTCGAGCCTCGCTCCAAAGGTCCCTTAATTCCCTTTAAAAATTTGCTAGAAATAATCCCTTCAAAACCGACCATTTTTCCTAATTGTTTTTGTCTTGGACGAATTTTTCACCTAACTTGAACCTTCTTGAAAATTTAGATGATAATTTTCCTATGTCCATCATGAGCACCTATACCCTGTAAAATTATCAAACCCCTAAAATCCACTAGTTAATATTTTTATTTAATTAAATTAAACATTTGAACAATTTCTAAAAATAGAAATACATCTTCAAACATCCCCAAATTAATTGAAAGCCATCTCCTAGACCTCTATCAATTTATAAAATTGTTAAACATAGGAATGAACACCCACATAGGCTCAAAACAATTTAAAACGTCCAAAATAAGTTTCTGTAAATTCCCAACAGCTTTATTGACCACCCAAAATCTGTCACTAAAAACCTGTAACGTCTGTTGCTACAAACCCGGAATTGCACCCTCACGAAAAATCCCCAAATTAATCGACCTAACTCGAAGGGATCGAGTTCCCTTACCTCTAGAACGTGACTAGTATTAGATTGGATGACCCGGGACGTTGATCTCCTCGTTGATCGAACCCTCAAACGTCACCGTTAATAAAATACGAGTTTCGCATTAGACTATCGATGAATCGAGTTTAGAAATTGCGAAGGGGTTCGTGATCCTTACCTAGAAACACGAAAGGGATGAGATCGGGATCGGGTAATCGGAGTCGGGGTAGGGAGTCTGCACTCTTCTTCTTCTTCTTCTTCTTCTTCTTCTTCTTCTTCTTCTTCTTCTTCTCCGCCTCGAGTTGGGGACTCGGATTGACGGCTGGGGTTTTTCTAGGGATGGGGCGAGATTATTGCTTGGGAATTATGATATGGGGTGGGGGATTTAAAGGGACGAGAGGATGAGGTATTAGGGTGGGGAGGGCTCGACCCTCTCCCATATATATTATCATTATATATATATATTAATAATAATAATAATAATTGTTATTATTATTATTATTATTATTCCTAGTCCGCGATTGCAATCCTTCGTACATGTCAACCCAACCGTTCACGTATTCTGATCGAACCCCAAATATAAAATACCGGGGTGTTACACAAGGCCCGTTACGGGTAACGACCCTAGCCCATCTTACGATATCGGTTAGCGGACCGAGACTGAGCCAGGGCACAGCCGCTGAGCTATGATAGATATTGGGCAGGCCCGGGATGGGCTTGATTTCTGAGGTGGCCCGATTCCAAAGAAACAAATCCTTGAATCCGCTGTCGTTTTGGGACAAACAAAACAGACCATTGCAATATGCTTCAACTTGACGGATCACGATTGCTGCCTGCCGGAAGCCCGGAAGTAGGGATGGCAACAAAACCCGAACCCACGGGTACCCACCCGACCCAACCAGGTCAACGCGGGTAAAACCCGAGTTGACGGGTTTTGGGCCGGGTTCGGGTTGAAACCCGCTACACTATTCACCGGGTCGGGTTGGGTTTGGGTTTAGGTAAACCCGCCCCATGGGTACCCGCCCACACACATATAATTATTTTCTCGGTATATTTAATATTCTGAATGATATATCTTCCTTAAACAATTAATATTCTTTATGTTTGTGGAGACATATATAATTAGTTGTTTCTAATTGTTTAGAATGAAGTTTGATATTATGAAGTGGAGAGTGAAGAAACTTAGTTGACGAGTAAGAAGCTTTCAATTAATCTTATTGTTTATAGATGTTTATCTTTAATTTTGAACAATTTGTATTGATCATTTGTGGTTTGCTTGTATGCTCTAGATTGGTGTTTTTTTTTTGTATGAATAATTTGTATGAGAAAATTAATGTTAAACTTTTATTTTGAAAGAAACTTGTTATTGTAAATTTTTTACCACAAAAACCCACGGATACCCACGAACCCGCGGATACCCAGCGGGTTGGGTTGGGTTTGAGTTTTTCAAACCCAACGGGTTTTATCCCGGGTTTTTTTGGCGGATAAACCCATGGGTTTGGGTTTGAAAAAACCCGCCCCAACCCGACCCATTGCCATCCCTACCCGGAAGGAAGGGCTTGAACGTGTCAGCCAGCGGCGGCGAGTGCAGAACGTAAACTGATGAGCTTCAGAAGAATAAGTCGTCGCCGCTCCGAATCATAGTTTGATGAGTTGTAGAAGAAGGATCGCTGCCGGATAGCTTCTGCAGGATGTAAGAGGGATCGGAGAGGCGATCCCGCCATGATTTGCTGAGGCAGCAAAATCGAGCCTGGCAATCGACCGGAAGCCTCCGCAAGATGTCATCGGTGATTTCCGCCGGAATTCCCACCTTCTTCATAATCGTAGTGGTGGTTCCGATGGAGCGAGAGTATTGATTTGTTTCTTTGGGAGAAGGGTAGACGAGGTTAGAAGGAGGCAGTGGCGGACCCATAAATTTTACATAGGGGGTGTCCTCTTTTAAAAATAAATCAAATAAAAATAATTAATAAAAATAAAATCGTAAATTTTAAAATACTTTACTCGTACAGGTTAAAAAAGTCCATGATTTGTTTTCATATTTGGAAATCATTATAGAATACACTTGTTGTCTATAGTGTTAAAATTTTTTTTGTCTCTATATACCCTACTAGACAATCATTCACGAACTTATCGCATATTCGACTTGTAAACTTGTTCTCGATGTAACCCAAAGCTGAAAGACTCTTTCAACACTTGTCGTATTAAGCGTAGTTTGAAATTAGTTTAATTGTTAGGTGTTTAAAATAATTAGAGATAGGAAATGACATTTTACTATTACATTTTTCAAAATCGAACAACAAATGAGTTGTAGGTTAACGAAAATTAAGTTTATTAATAAGAATAGTGTTCTAGATTTGAATTACCCAATCTACCAGTTATATTCCTATACACAAATGACAGTAGGATAATCATGTTTTCAATTTCAGGGGTGTCACTCACTATCAATTATATTTTTTTTGTTCATACGTAAATTACCACCGGGGTTGGATAATCGTATTCCCAAAATTTCGGGGGTGTCCGGGGACACCCCTAAAACCCCCTGGGTCCGCCCCTGGAAGGAGGAGTTGCTGCCTCCCCAAGTATTTATTTATTTATTTATTTATTCATTTAGGAGAAATCAGCTCAATCCTAATTCCTTGTGGATTGAGAAGAAATCAGCTCAATCCTTCTCGGATTCGGATAGGATGGGAAGTGGAGATGCACAAAGAATACCAGAGCCCTCAAGGAATCCAATAGCCAACAGATCATAATTGGGATAAAAGCCTTTGCTCCAGTTTTATCTCGCGAGTTTCCAAGATTGAGTCCTGGGATTTGACGGTGGACTTAAAAAGCCATCTACCGACGCTATACGCTCAATCATTCCAGATAATGCTTGCATCCTCTATATTATCGTGGCTGCTGATATAGAATTAGCCGATACTTATTCTCCGGATACCGTCATTGCTACTTCTCAGAGAAAAGAAGTTCACGACCCGTAGGCCTTTTACCTCCACGCGGCATTACTCCGTCAGGCTTTTGCCTAGGTGTTTTCAAACGGTGTGGTTACCATGGTAACCGTTTTAACCAGTACTATTTGGATAATTTTTTTGGTTAATTTGGATAATTTGTTTGGTTTGGTTAAAGTTTTTAGCTTGTTTGGTTTAGGTGGTTTGGTTTGGTTTCAGACACTCCTAACCAGTCAAACCAAATTAACCAGATAAATAATTAGTCATATATCTAATATATACACATACTTAATACTTTGAATAAGCACTCAAGAGTTAAATGTTCATCTCTTTTCATAAAATATAAAGCTTGATATTATTCCTATAATGTATATTTGTATATGTAGAGTGTAGACCACAACATATGAACGCCTAATTTGGATACATCTCATACATTATGTTGGATGAAAACTTGAAAGCAATGTCATTTTCAACCTATGAAAATTGCTAAAAGACTAGTCAATTCATACAAACACAACAATTCATTAACCCATACCATTGTGATAAATTTTTGCTAGGTGAACACTTCTATACTAACCGTAAGATAATTGTCTTAGTTGCATGTATTTATGTTAAAGGTCAAATATAACCAAGTGTTGATTAATAGACCGTTATTTACACATGTTTTTACCCCCATTCTTACACCGTTTGAGGTGTTGATTCTCGTGTTTTAGGCCGATTTCACGATAGGTTGTGCTTGTTTGTGATATTTCAGGTCCTAGGACGTGAATGAAGGCTTAGGAGCGAGTCTGGGGTCGATTGGACGAGGATCGGACGCATGGCGAGGTTCTGAGGAAGTCGCACGGGCACACCCACAACCCGCACGGCCGTGCAAGTGACCAGTTTGGCCGTGCGGGATTGTGCGTGGGCACGCACGGGATTGTGCGTGGGCACGCACGGGATTGTGCATGGCCACGCACGGCCGTGCAAGTGACCATTTTGGCCGTGCGGGATTGTGCGTGGGCACGCACGGGCACAAGTGAAATCCGCACGGCCGTGCAACATACAATTCTGGCCGTGCGAGTTGGCTGAGGTTCAACTAATTGATACGCCGCGTTTTGAGGTGCACGGCCAGAATGGTGATGTGCACGGCCGTGCACCCTGGCCGTGCGAGTCGGGAATGGCTGTTTTTAACCCAAATTCGAGCCAAAGGAGAGGGAGAGCTGGGTTTTGGATCCCAAACACCCAAGGGACGAACCCTAGAGAGAGAGGGCGATTTGAGGGCATTCTTGGAGTAGAGAAGGAGGATTTCTTCGCCTTGGAAGCTCGAGGAACAAGCCCGGACTTGAAGACTGATCATCTGAAGATTCTTACTGCAGTCTCTCTCTTCTCTATGGAGTAACTTCCCTTCACTTAGGTTTTGAGGAACCCTAGCTATGTTTGTTTGATTGGATGATTGTATGAGTACTCTGACTTGATAATCTTGAGTTCATATTCAATCTATGCATGTTTTCATGATTCAATTCTGCTTTAGTCGAGGTTATTGATTCTGCTTTGATTCTATGAGAGGGAATACCTGATTAGGTCAATAGAGCACCATAGATTGATAGTAGTGGATCGATTGCTTTAGTCGAGGGTTGATTCACTGCTTTGTATCGATTGAGAACCTCTTTCGATAGAGGGAGTCTAGTTCAGAACGCCTTGATCAGTTATTCTAGAGAAGGATACGTCCCTCTAGGCAATTGACTCAAGAGGGCCTTGTTCCTTTAGTCGAGACTCAAGGTCTAGTCAAGGATTCTCCGCATTGTGAATGTAAGTGAAACAGGTTAGAGATCATCAATCATTAATCTGGCTAGTGGCTAGGGGGAATCATACCTAAGTGAGTTCCCAACCTGTAATTAGATTAACTTTAACTGTAGTTTGCTAGAGTAGTTTTAGTTCTTTCATCTTAATCTGATTTGCTAAATAATAAACTGAAGCTGAGTAATAGTAACTCTAGAGACCCGTGGATTCGATATTTATCACTTGAGCCACTATACTGCAGTCCCTTTCATTGGTTACACTTGGCCTTTGTTAGGAGTTGTGTTTTAGCGAGTCAAGTTTTTGGCGCCGTTGCCGGGGACTTTCTAGAGTATTAGGAAAGGCAGAAGTTTGTTACTTTAGCGTTTTTCGTTTCTTTTCTTTTCCACCCTTGCTTTTCACTTGGGTGTTTTTGTTTTTGTTGGTGCAGATCTGAATCATGGATCCTAATGGCTTCTCCAATCATTGGGGGTATCCACCACCATCTGGGTGGTATTACCCCGAGACTCCGTGGAGCAATCAAGGCGGAGCAGACTATGGATTCGGGTTCCAGTACCAACCCCCTTACTACGGAGAACAACCGGACCCCTGGGCATATCAAGAACAACCTCATTATCAAGAAGAATTTCTCCCACAACCAGAAGGGCCATCGGCACTGGAGTTACTCATGGAGCAGTATGCTCGAGACTGCGAGAGAACATGCTCCAGGATGGATCAGTGTGTCCAGGCCTATCGTGAAACAGATGAGATCCTCCTGAGCCTTAAGAAGAGCGTCGATGATCTTGAGCGATCTTGGGCGCAACCTGCTCCAGATCACCCTTCTGCTACCATAAAAGAAGAGGAGGAGGAAGAAGAAGGCTACAAGGCCATTGTGGAACACACTGAAGTTGTCACGGAGAGCTCCCGTGATGATCATGATCAGGCGTGTCATGTCGTAGCCGACCACACCTTCCCACACCCCAAACTGAGCTTTGAAGAGGCGGGCATGAGTGAGGAGGTGCAAGAAGATCTCATGAAAGAAATTGCTTGGCAACTTGCTCTCCAATCCGTGCTAGAAGAAGAAGAGCAAGAAAGGGTGCAGAAAGAAGTTGTGGAGGATGACGAAAGTGAAGCAGGAGGAGTTCTTGATCATTTCCCAGGGGTGATACCACATGAAGAAGGAAGGGAGGTTGAAGAGGCGATTGGCGTCCAGGCTGAGGATGAAGTTGAGGTGGAAGAGGCTTGCACCGGCCATGAGTTACATGTGATATCTCCACCAAACTTCGAGGAACTGCTTAGCAAGGACCCATTTGCAGTGTCTCTTTGCCAGACCAAGGCCACCTCGACATCGGTCCCTCTTGGTGGACGCGATGGTGGCCAATCGATGCTGTCATATCTGGTTTGGGGCAATGAGACGAGAGAAGAGAAGGAGAGGTCTCGAGGGTGGAGACTTCATCTGCATCAAGTACATGAGCCTTCATCACCTGCCACATCACATGCTCATGACTTGAGACTCCACCTCATCGACGAGAACCTCAACTTCAAGGAGGTTCTCTCATGGACCGAAACTTAGGAGCCATCGTCCGGCTCACGACGTGAAAGAAGCGCTTGTTGGGAGGCAACCCAACCAGTCGGTTTGCATCTCTTTCTCTATTTCTCTTCGGTTGAGTCAGTTTTGTTCTTTGATTTTAGAGTCAATAACTCAACCTTTGTGAGATTTTGTGTGGTGTTTGTGTTCTGATTACTCTCTCTTTCTGGAATGCACCGCCTGACTCGTTCATCATCATTCACCCTTGATCTTGTAACTTCGTTCTACCCTCCTTATCTTTCCTCCATTGAGGACAATGTCGTGCTTAAGTGTGGGGGGATGTTCGATTATTTATGCGGGTGAATGTTTGGCTATTTGTGTGCCTGGAGCCTAGTCCACTGTCCAAATTTTACGATTTGAGGGCTCCAAGTACTGCTGTTTGATCATATTGGCACTGTGTTTTGATGGATGAATTGATTGGTTTTCGGATTAATGCATGACAACTTGTTTGCGACTAGGACAACCTATGATGAGGACTGAGATGTGCAGTAGAACGATGTAGGGGTTCAGTTTTTCAACTGTTTGCTTGCCAACTGTGACTTGATCTGACTTGATCTGATTACTTGTTCTTAACAGTCGTTTATGCATCTAGTTCAGGGTATCAGAATATGAGATAGAGCATATAGGTAGCCATGCGAGATTTGAACCTGCTCGTTTCTTTCTTGTGCGATAGATCCCTCTTCCATGATGTGTAGCATTCACGTTGTCACTAGCTGAGATGATGGGGGCATAGGATTAGCCCACGCCCAAAACTGACTGTCCTGATGTGTCATATCCCCTAGTCAGCCCTTTTTGAGCCGTGTGTCGTCCTTTCTTTTGGTCTATAATGGAAAAAAAATCACCCTTGTTGCATCTTTTAGAAGGTTCCACAGAGTGGTTTTTTATATATTCTCTACTGTTTCTGCTAAAGTTTATGTGAGTGTTGGAGGTAGTGCTTAAAAGTTGGGCAGGTGTTTGAAGTTTATGTAGAAGTGGTGGCTCTCTTAAGAAATGAAAAGAAAAATGAAAGTGAAACAAAGAAAAAAATTGAAAGTAAAAGAGAGCCACTACCAAAAATCTGAATGATGCCCCGTAAGTAGTGTTTCTTAGCAGTCTGGCTTGGAAATGCTGATGTTTATGCCTCCTTCGCTCTTGTGTTCTTAAGATATTGAGTAATGCAGAATAGCAGAAAGAAAATACCGATTTGTTTGACTGTGATTGTGTGTTTGGAAAATGTGGAACCTTTTGCTATGAATACTTCCACCACCTAAAAGGCCTTTTCCCCATGTCCAAGACCCTAGCCAGTCATTTGAACCTGTGTCTAAGACCTCCTGATTAGTTAGTGGTGACACCCCATATGTGAGCTCTAGCATTTAGAGGCTGCCATCATGGTGAAGAGATGATAGGGATTGAGAGAAATAGCATGCGCATCTTTCGCATCAAATTGTCCTGACCCCACTGGTCGAGAGTGAGTGATTCATTTTCATTTTCTATATGCTCTTGTACCCCGGTGAGGACCTAGATTGCTCGGTCTCTATTCTGATGTCTTGAGTTGGATGCATGAGTTGACTGTTTTGAGTAAGTGGTTGAATCAAGTCTAGGTTGGCCGGTGAACAGAAGGGAGACTCTTCCTTTACTCGATTTGCTGCACTCGAATGTCCTTTGTGGTGGTTGTCCAGGTTGTTATTGAGGTTGTGCATGTATTGATGTTTGAAAACCAGTGCGATTCACGTGTTCTGTGCCTTTATGACTTGTCCCCAATGTTGGTTGATTGAAATATGTAAGCTTACCTAGTGTCTGACTTGGTTTGCTTGGGGACAAGCAAACGGTTAAGTGTGGGGGAGTTTGATAGACCGTTATTTACACATGTTTTTACCCCCATTCTTACACCGTTTGAGGTGTTGATTCTCGTGTTTTAGGCCGATTTCACGATAGGTTGTGCTTGTTTGTGATATTTCAGGTCCTAGGACGTGAATGAAGGCTTAGGAGCGAGTCTGGGGTCGATTGGACGAGGATCGGACGCATGGCGAGGTTCTGAGGAAGTCGCACAGGCACACCCACAACCCGCACGGCCGTGCAAGTGACCAGTTTGGCCGTGCGGGATTGTGCGTGGGCACGCACGGGATTGTGCGTGGCCACGCACGGCCGTGCAAGTGACCATTTTGGCCGTGCGGGATTGTGCGTGGGCACGCACGGGCACAAGTGAAATCCGCACGGCCGTGCAACATACAATTCTGGCCGTGCGAGTTGGCTGAGGTTCAACTAATTGATACGCCGCGTTTTGAGGTGCACGGCCAGAATGGTGATGTGCACGGCCGTGCACCCTGGCCGTGCGAGTCGGGAATGGCTGTTTTTAACCCAAATTCGAGCCAAACACCCAAGGGACGAACCCTAGAGAGAGAGGGCGATTTGAGGGCATTCTTGGAGTAGATAAGGAGGATTTCTTCGCCTTGGAAGCTCGAGGAACAAGCCCGGACTTGAAGACTGATCATCTGAAGATTCTTACTGCAGTCTCTCTCTTCTCTATGGAGTAACTTCCCTTCACTTAGGTTTTGAGGAACCCTAGCTATGTTTGTTTGATTGGATGATTGTATGAGTACTCTGACTTGATAATCTTGAGTTCATATTCAATCTATGCATGTTTTCATGATTCAATTCTGCTTTAGTCGAGGTTATTGATTCTGCTTTGATTCTATGAGAGGGAATACCTGATTAGGTCAATAGAGCACCATAGATTGATAGTAGTGGATCGATTGCTTTAGTCGAGGGTTGATTCACTGCTTTGTATCGATTGAGAACCTCTTTCGATAGAGGGAGTCTAGTTCAGAACGCCTTGATCAGTTATTCTAGAGAAGGATACGTCCCTCTAGGCAATTGACTCAAGAGGGCCTTGTTCCTTTAGTCGAGACTCAAGGTCTAGTCAAGGATTCTCCGCATTGTGAATGTAAGTGAAACAGGTTAGAGATCATCAATCATTAATCTGGCTAGTGGCTAGGGGGAATCATACCTAAGTGAGTTCCCAACCTGTAATTAGATTAACTTTAACTGTAGTTTGCTAGAGTAGTTTTAGTTCTTTCATCTTAATCTGATTTGCTAAATAATAAACTGAAGCTGAGTAATAGTAACTCTAGAGACCCGTGGATTCGATATTTATCACTTGAGCCACTATACTGCAGTCCCTTTCATTGGTTACACTTGGCCTTTGTTAGGAGTTGTGTTTTAGCGAGTCATTGATTGTTATGTTTTATTCATTATAAAAATTGTGAATTGATAAATTAACAGAAAATTTTCTCACTTAATGATAATGTGATTTTATATTGGTTAATCTGGTTAACCAATTAACCAAACCGATTAAACTTTAGTTTGGTTAATTTGGTTGTTGTATTAGTTTGGACGGTTTGGTTATGATATTTTATTCCATGGTTAATGAAATCTAGCCTTATTTGGTTTGGGAATAACCATGGTAACCATTTGAACACCCCTAGTTTGCCCATTGCGAAAAATTCCTCACTATTGCCTCCCGTAGGAGTCTGGGTCGTGTCTCAGTCCTAGTGTGGTTGATCTTCCTCTTAGAATAGATACTGATCATCGCCTCGACTCAACTCGCAACGAATCCGTTTGGCTAGGCCAACCAGAATTCGCCATTTTAGCTAGGAGAAGGAAAACAATTTTGGTATTATACCACATCAACGGGATTATGCGTCGCCCGCTCCTGACCTTTAACGCATTTAAAATTTTTATTTTATTTTATTATGTTTGAGCCCGGGTGACTGAGAGTCACTCGGGTCCAAGGGGTTTGGGGCCTCAGACATGACTTTGCGGAGGTAGGCGCCCATCCTCGGCAGAAGTAAGAAGAAGGGAAGTATATAGAGAGAGAAAGTAGAGAGAAGTCATAATAAGAGTAGATAGATTGCCATTTATGAGGAGAGAACTCCTATTTATACACATCTGGGGGTTAGGTAGTGGTCTGGGTGCCTGTCAAGTCATAAATGCTGTGGTCGGGCGCCTCAGACCTTCTGACACTGTACATTGTACTTTTGGCAGGGAGTGTCCCCCTGCACCTTGTCCTTGCTGATGTCAGGTGCCTGACCTTGTCTCTTGTGGCGTGCAGATGGTCTACAGATGTGTTACGCACATCCACGCCGCGGAAGCTTATGAAGACATCATGTATGGACCGCCGAGAAGGAGGAGAGGAAGTCGGGTTGGTTATGGTTGCGCGGAAGCGGCGCTTGGAAGTTGAGGGGCGCGCGCATAGTGAAGATAGAGAGCAGAGACGCCGGCCGACGATTACCCTTACTTTATGCTGAAAAAGGAATGAACAATATTATAGTCTATAGATTTAGCTGTTTATCTTTACCACGTTCTATATGGAAGAGCTTCCAATCCTCGAAACCCTGCGCTCTCTTCTTCGCTTCTTCCACAGAGCGCATCAAGCAGTCTTCCTTGACTTCAAATTCCCCCAGAACCTGTCGAACCACCAATGCGGAGTCGGAGAAAACATCGAGGCGTTTTGCCCCTAGCTCTTCCGCGATGTGCATGCCGTTGATTAATGCCTCGTATTCGGCTGCATTGTTGGTTTTAAGCATTGAGAATCGTAGAGCTACTTCGTGTGTGACACCTCCTGGCGTTTCCAGAACTATGCCAGCACCTGCACCTGTCTTACTTGCCGCACCATCGATAAACAACTTCCACCTTCCTTCATCGGTCCCTGTAGGCTCAATTGTTCCTTCAGCTACAAAATCTGCTAGGACTTGGGCTTTGATTGAAGGACGCGGAGCATACTGGATATCAAACTCACTGAGCTCAATTGCCCATTTGGTTAGGCGCCCTGATGCGCTTTTGCTATGAAGAATTCTCTTCATTGGTAGGTTGGTCAGTACAGTGACCGTCTTTGAGGAGGTAGGCGCCCCTCCTCGGCAGAAGTAAGAAGAAGAGAAGTATATAGAGAGAGAAAGTAGAGAGAAGTCGGAGTAAGAGTAGATAGATTGCCATTTATGAGGAGAGAACTCCTATTTATACACATCTGGGGGTTAGGTAGTGGTCTGGGCGCCTGTCAAGCCATAAATGCTGTGGTCGGGCGCCTCAGACCTTCTGACACTGTACATTGTACTTTTTGGCAGGGGGTGTCCCCCTGCACCTTGTCCTTACT